AGCCACCTAGGAAGAAGACCAGGTCTCACAGGGATATGCATGAATCGCCTAGACATTCCAAGGCTAGTGCTGCAGCATCACAGCAGCATTCATCCAGGCCCAARCGAAAGAGAGTGGCTATGGCCCAAAGGCCAGCCACCATCCCTAGGCCAATCAGGCCCCATAGTGGTTTTAGCTCTAAAGCCGCTGAGAAAATGCATGCTAGATTTCATAACCGACTTGGCTACCCTGATAAGGGTTTTGATAGGCAAAGCATTAGAGAGTTTGCTTTCATAAGGGAGGTGGTAGAGACACACGGTATTGAGAAAATGTGCATGGTGCCAACATCTTACAACTTGACCATGATTAGGGAATTCTATGCTGAATTAGCTGCCAATAGCACTCCAAAGATAGCTGTTAGGGGGATAACCTTTGTGTTTAATGCGAAAGCCATCAATAGGTGTATGGTTTAGATCCCCCTAAGAAGACCGATTACTCTAGGATGATAAGACATGCAACCGTGGATGATTTAACCGAAGTAGCGGAGGAGATAGGGAAACCTGGGGCTGTATGGGATGATCACTCCAACTTCATGTTACGGACTTTCAAGGCCTACAATCTTACGGCCAATGCCAATGTGTGGATAATTTTTTTAAGGCACTCCATTTATCCCACCACTCACGATAGTTCAGTCTCGGTGGAGAGAATGTTTTTGCTTTACTGTTTAGTCATGGGTAAGTCCATAAATTTTGGGAGAGTGATCGAAAGGAGTATAAGGACCTGTGCAGGGAGAAACCGAGGGAAAATGTATTTCCCTAGTTTGATTACCAAGTTGTTGATAGAGCACGGTGTTCCTCAATTCTGTGAGGATCACATGGTAAAGGAGCAAGGTGAGAAATGAAAGATAGACATGAAGGCAGTTTCGAGGTTAAGGGAGAAGAAAGATAGGCTGAGTGGGGCTGGTGATATGTTAGGTTTGATGCAAGACATGCTTGCGCAGAATAATCATTTGATGGATAGTTTGTTAGAACAGCGCAACTAGTTCTTTGAAAGAATCGAGAGATTGAAAGAAGASTTAGTGGAGCAGGTCAAGGCTGCCGAAAAGAAGACGAGGGGAGATATTAGAGTGGTAAGGGCTGAACTTGCGGCTAAGATAGGCGCTCAAGTCAAGAAGTTAGGAAGAAAGTTGAAGGAGGTGAAAGCCGAAAATGTAAGGTTGTTTGGCGAAAATACTAGGCTCAAAGAAGAATGCCAGAAGTTGAAAGCCAGCATCTCCACTTTACCTACTCTTAGGGAGTAGGACAGGTTCTATCATTCCCTCTTTAGCTTCTTTTAATTATTTTATTTCAACTTGTTTTGTTTTTCTTGAGTCTGGGATTGTCTTTTACATTTTCTAGTTTATTTTCTTGCAAAGAACACATATGCTTATAATTGCCATATGCTTGCATAGCTAAAATAATTCTTATAGTTTAGTTACACTTTCTAATCACTTCGTATCACTAGAACTAGCTTGTTTTGCTTGGGAACACATTTTGTTACACATCATATGCTCAACTAAGAAAGGATATAGGCCCTTTGTTCTTTTCTCAATATCCTAGCCACTTGTTGCCATTGTATAAACAGCCCCCTATATACTTCCAATGAGGACATTGAAAAAATCTGAGTTTGGGGGAGGGTACCAACATAAGAATCAAAGTTATGCAAAAGAGCACAAAGTGCCAAAAGTAGAGATCAAGTTGCACAAAGTGCACAATGCTTACATGAAACATTTGAGATCTAAAAACACCACAAATGTCCCATAGGGGCAGGTGTATATGCATTCAACAAAAGAGCAAAAAGTGCCAAAATTTGAAAAATTCAATGTGATGCATAAATGAAAGAAAAGGCAAAGAGAGGAAAACATGTGCCAAATGAGAGTAAACCAGTTACTTCCAAGTCCTATTGATCTTAGACATATGATGTGTTGAGCACAACAAAGAGCAAATAAAGCTAGCTTATGGTTCATGCTAATGGTTAGTTAAGACATGCTTACTTGAGATTTATGAAAGCTATATGATGCATTTTGGCATAATCAACATGTATGCATGCACTTACTGCATTTTCTTGCAAAATTTTCAAAATTGAGTCATTTTTAGTTGTCTTTTGGTTGCTTGGGGACAAGCAACGCTTTAAGTTTGGGGGTGTGATACGTACTAAGTATTTAGTACGTAAAGTACCCTTTTACTCTCTTTTAGATAAGTTATTTTGTTTTCATATCCCAAATATTGAGTCATTTTATCTCCTTTCTCTGTTTGTAAGCTAAGATGAATGAGGAACCTATGTTTTGTGGAAATTGACCTAAATTGATCTCATTTTGGACAGATTGGAGCAGTTTGATGCTGTAGAAATGTGGTAGCATGAACTGACGTTTGACTGAAAGATGAAGGAGACTTGGGGAAGTGACATGACTCTTGGGAAGACTTTTTGAAAGCTTTCTAAAGCTGTATTCTGCTGTATTTTGAACTGATTAGTGATATGTAACAAGACTAATTTTAGTTAACTTCTAATTTGTAGTTTGATTTAAGTACTTTTTTAGTTAGTATGTAACTAGGAAGGGTGAAAAGACTATTTTGCCCCCATAAATCCTTAGTATAAATAGGGGTTGTTGGGAGGAGTTTAAGACACACCTCATTTTGCATTCTCCTACTTTTCTCTCAAGTAGTTCTCCCAACTACTTGGAGAAGAAGTTTCTTTCTCTAAATATTATAAATCTTTTGACATTTCAAGTTTCTTTAATCGCTTTCATTTACTTGCTTTATTTAATCGCTTTATTTATATTATCGTTATTTATATTTCGTCTTTAATTTATTTACGCTTACTCGCATCTTTATTATTCCGTTATTTATATTATGTCATTTACTTTCCCCATTTATATTATGTCTTTATTTACCACAATTTATATTTATTTACTTTTCGTCATGAGTAGCTAATTTTATTAGCTCGGGTGTATGACGAAAAGGGTGAGTTTTTAAACCAAAATATAGTCGACCCTTTCATGTAACAACAATGTTTTACTTTTTCACTTCAAGTTTTATAAAACCAATGACACTTCTTGACGGGTT